GATTCTCGACCCGGGCGGCTTCGTTCACAGCGCCACACGGCGTGGGACTTTATTAACTTTATTTCTAAACGATTGTTTAAAATAATACGCAACAATAACGATGGCAATAACTGCTATCTCAATAAAAAAGTCACCAAGAACAATAATTTGATCTTAAGTGGAGAGGGGTGGTGACTGCCAGGTTCTTACATTGTTTACAGCCATTGTAATTAAAGCCGAACTAACAAAGGTGTCAAGTCTCGACTGGATACAGAGTGAGTTCAGTATTGCTCGTTGGGCGCTCTTGAAAGCCAAACGATAGCAATAAAAAATAAATTCAAAACAAGATTGGACATCACAGAGCAAGAACCTTCATCAACAAATACTCTAATATACAGAACTGTATTTTATGCATATCTTAAAAAAACATATGTAAAAACACATGTTCACAGATTTATGTTAAAGGCAGTGGGAGCTTTACTTGGTTAATGCTCAGGGTATGTTTTATAAGTTAGTCCAGAAAAACATTTACAATCACACTGCGCCGTGTAATACATGCAAAACACACGTGGGTTTATGCTCTGTCACACTTGAGAAAGAGAGATATTTTTTTACAGAATTTTGTGTCTTGTCACAAATCACCAAACCAATGCAAATTGAGATTTCGGATAGGTCTACGCACACACGGGACACAATGCGTTTGTTAAAACTCCCCTTATCACCGCAAAGCAAACCACACTGTGGGTTTTATAATAGACTCTCCTTTTGCCGATCCAAGGGACGGGTGTATTGCAATAAGTCTGAAACTTGCAAGCGAAAAGCAGATCGCGACGTGATATATTCATTGCGTCAATTTGCATTCAATCAGTAAGGCTGCAGTGACACAGACCAATTTCATTTAAAAGTTATAATCCCTTGTTCATCATGACGTCCTTTTTACTTTGTCTCAACATCGTTATGGAGATCATGTGACGTGAGGGTTCTGCCTTTGTAGTTAGGGTTATAAGGGGCCATCCATTTAGTACGTACGCATGGAGGGGGGAGGGGGGATTAACCCAAATGTGTACGCTTGCGTATGGGGGGTCTACTGACAATGTACGCATAGGAAACGGGGGGGGGTGGGGGGGTGAAGCCTCGATAATAATTTGTCTACATTGTCCTTCAAATGAGTTAGGGGCCGTCCATAAATGACGTCAAGCGATTTTGGACGATTTTTGACCCTCCTTCGTCACATGGCGTCACAAAAAGTCAGACCCCCCCCCCCCTCAAATATGACCTCACAAAGTTCTGCCCCCCCCCAAAAAAATAAAACATGCTTCAAATCACTTTAAACTCTTGTCATTGTAGTGCGTATTTGAATGTGGCGCTGCACTCTGATGTAGTAGGAGAAAATATTTAAAGTTGCGCATTTTGATGTGACGTCACATTTCTCAACCCCCCCCACCATCGTCACACATCGTCACAAATGTCTGACCCCCCCTCTCCCTAGGTGCGTGACGTCATTTATGGACCGCCCCTTAAGAGAAAAATAGGCGTTCATAAGAGAGTACTTGTTCAACCGTTTGCCAGTCCCATTGCTGGCTGAAGGCCCCTCCCCACACTGTCGGTCACTGGAGTAGTTTTTGCCGCATGAGTGGTGATGCTGCAATGGGCCTAATGGGTTGCGTCTCCAGCAGCTCCCTCCGTCTCTGGCCGCGTGACCTCGTCGGCGTCGATAGTGAAGATTCTGGCACGGGCCACGGTTCTTCGTGCAGAAAGGTGTTATGGAGGCTCAGTGGCCCTCCCGGGTGGGCCCTTGCTACCGATAACCCGGCGGTTAAAATCCGAAATGCCGATGCAAAATGAGTTCACGAGGCTTCGCTCCGGATGACAGTTGCACTTCCAAATTCAGGAAATGTTGAACTTATTTCGCACCGTACTTTAGCCAACCGTGTGTAGTGGGTTATTTTATGGAGACGGAGACGTTGGGGGTAGAGGCAACACGGCGTGTTTATTTCTAACTACAGCAACTCCCTTACGCCCCCTATCTGGGGAGGTACGGCCTCTGGGCTATCGGGGCCTAAACACCGCCCCCTGCTGGCTCCCAGCCCTCCGGCTAGCAGTGTCCTACGGGAGGCTACCTGACCCGACCCAGTCAAGGTACGGGTCCCCGACCACTGGTCCAAGCTCGACCCGGCCCTTACAAGGGCAGCGGGTTCGAGGTCCCAGGGTCCTAGTCTAGCTGCTCTTCAGTCTTCGTAACTCTGCCCCCAACCTGTGTTGAGGTCCGGCTTTTATACACCTCTCCGGTGTGTCAGCCTCTGGCCACGCTCCCTTTCCAGGAGGGGGGGGGGGTCCCGGGGGATCCCAGAACACCCCCGCAGCCCCCTCCCGGGCTGGGGATCGTCACGACCTGCCCGCCAGCTCGAGACACCGCCCCTGATGGGCTGCACTGTCCGCCATTGGGGGTAATTGCAGCACATCGACAGCGCTGCACATGCGAATCGGAGGTGTGTGAAGGCAGCCTCCGGTCGACAACGTGTTACAATCACACAGCAGACACATGCCATTGCCGGGCTAACGGATTATGTACGTAAACTTCATATTCTTTCACTCCTTAAGGCGTTCCAGTTAACCAGTAGAGTTGCAGCACGCATCATCTTCTGCTCTCCGGCTCTCTCTCTCTCTTCTTGCTCTTGTATTATCCCGCACCAGACTTCTCTCAGACACACCGGCATATTCCACACCTCCGGTTAGTACGGATGGCTCGGTACGGTGTGAAAGAAGTTCAACGTACGTAGATACATGCCTCTTCATCTTCCCTGCATCATCCGCACGAATATTTCACTCTGCCGCTTTCTCTTCCGTTTCCTTCATCTTTCTTGGTTACATGCTGAATCCCCCCCCCCCCCCCCTCCGTCTCTCCATCATCTTTGTCCATAAAACCATCGCTATTTATCGCATATTTCACCTCTAGCCCTTCTGTCTCACTACGACATCATCCTTTCTCTGACAGTTTCTCTGCTTCTTGCAATAGAAATGTCGTCACACCACTCATTCTACAAAATAGCTGTTTCCCGTTCAATCCATCACCTCGAAAGACGTTTACCATGCACTTTGAAGGCATTTGCGTTATAAGCAAGAGACTGTAAACTTTTGTAACGATTAGGAAGGCTCGTGGCAAGCGTATGTTGAGTGAACTGCAGTTCAATAACGTTGAAGAAATCGCAATTCATGCGTGAAGATAACGGACGCGTGTGGCTCGGACGAATTAAGCGATATCAATGTAGTTCCAGTTATCGTCATCAGAAGTGACATCGGCACCATCAGTAACAGCGGAACCATCGACAGCAGAACCATTGTATCCATAGGTTTTTTTTCTGGGTTAGATTGCGTAAATGTCGTTAAGACCCGCCACCACCCGATACAGCCAACTAGCAAGGGTTGTCACGAAAACAGAAAATGCCAATTCGTCGCTAGTTGGGTTTTGACGACACATTTCTATATTTACGCGATCTAACCCCAAAAAAACCCTCTTATGGATACTGGTCGCGAAAGCCTACGTGTTTAACAGAACCATTGTCGTTAATAGCGGCAGCACTCATAGCCAACACCGCACGCCAATGGGCCCACTGTGCACGATTATCAGTCTGTCGTTAGCTGAAGACGGTGGTTGGTGTGCTATGAAGGCCCATTGCGAGACGCAGGATTTGAATTTGTGGCACAGAACGATGGCGTGGATCACAGTGCATCTTTTGGTCATCGACACCTCATTTGACATCTCTGCCTCCGTGTACATATCTTCTCTTTCACTCATCCATAACCTTTTCATTCATCTCATTATTTCTACACCTATATCACTCATCCACGTCGCCTTTCATTGATTCCATTGCGTGTTTTCTCTTTTCTGCATCACTTCTCACATGACTAGATCTCTCATCGGTTTGCTCAAAACATCTCTTGCTAGTGACTGCAGATCCTTGGCTGGGCATACATTTCATGACATCACATTAATAGTGGTGTGTAAAACTACACGCAAGCATACGCACGCTTCACTGCGCTGGTGGATTTTCTGGGGACCCTCATCAGCGGTTCCTCTTGGTTGAACTCTGACGTCATGCCAGGGATATGAAACCTAACACCCATCCAGATCCTTCACCTCACGTCTCCTTTCCTCTCCACGCGCCTCCCTTCACGTCGCGTTCATTCGCCCCTACATTTCTCTTCACATCCACGATGCTACCAAGGCTCCTTTCTCCTGCCAGTCTCCACCTCCCCATGCCACTACCGTAACCGACTCGCCCTTCCAGCAGATCAACATTTGGAATTTATTATTTAAAATAAACACCTCCACATGCAAACACGCGAACGAATTTTCCCCATATGACGTTCAACAGACTGCTGTAGCAAGTGTTGTTAGCGAGCACCTATTAAGATTGACACAGAACACATGTGCACGCATACACGGGGGACATGGGAATGCTTGGCGGCAGGAAGTAAGAGTCAGGGGGTTGTTGTAGTTAACTTTCAGGGGTAGATGCAAGCAGGGGCGGAGCCAGGGGGGGGGGGCGGGTGACAGGGGTGACATCATGCGTATAAATCCTGGCTCCGCCCCTGGATGCAAGGCTGTGGTGATGCCCGTAGGACGGATTAGGCTCGGTGGTTAGGCTAAGGCAGTTTAGCAAATGACACTTGCCAGCCACAAAAGCATTTTAACATTTCGTTATTATTCGTTGACGTAACAATTCAAATAACACTGCACATACCTGATGATTGATGAACAATAGATGTGAACGAGCACACCGATTGAAAAAAAAACGCTCCACTGGCGATTTGTAATGGACATTTTTAAATCATTAAGCACGTTTACAAGGACACGATTTGTATCTGAATGGTGAATAGTGATCATTGCAGATCTACACACTGTGGTGAGCAGGGGGGGGGGATTAAGAGCGGGGCTAATTCTGGCAATATGACTTTAGCATCCTCTCTATGATCGAACAGGCGAGGGTGAATGTTGATAAGAGTTGTTGCCAGTGGGATGTTGGTAAGGGGGGCTAGCGCAAGCAGTTCTGCGAGAGCCTCCCCGTATTGGCGCCTTCCAGCTGCTGCTGCTTCTTCTTCCGCGACTTGTCCCCCTGGAAGCAGCGCCACAGGCGCAGGCTCTCATCAGCACCAAGTGACATCACGGAGGATCCGTCGGGGCTTGCTGCAACCTGCAGCACGCGGCCTGTATGGCCTGCGGGGTATGGAGAGACATGGCGGGGGGGGGGGTGACACATGGGGGAGGGAGAGACACGGTATAGTCACACAAGGTGGAAGAGACAGGGACACAGGGGTTAGACATGGATCATGGGGAAGGGATGGGGACGAGGGAGAGACATACGCGAGAGAGAAAGACAATTTGGCAGTGTGGTTGTTTGTATCCTTTAATAAACCAGATGAGATTAACCCACGGAGTCACGTGAAACATCATTGGCTTTCTTTCAAGGACGACCTGGGATATGTAGTTGTGTCCCCCCATGACCAGTGTCCCCGTGTCCCAATACTCAGTAGTTCTGCGGTGAATGCCAGTGGCCGGATGCACGACCAGTGTGTATCCCCCTATGCTCCTGTGCGTCCCGTCTTCGTATGCCCCTATTTTGCCTCGTGTGTCACTCTTTAGCTCGATGCTGGACATCATTGATGGGTAAACTCTTCAGCACCATGTACCCCCATGTCCCTGTGTATCCCCATTTGTCTGAGGTTATTCCAATGCTCATCTCACGAATGGGCATGTATGTATGATGGACTTCTTTCATACCATATGTAGCCAACCGTGCTAATCAGAGGTGTGGGGAAGGACAAACTAAACACAAAAAGCAGTTCTAAACAAAAAATCAGTTATACAGAAATCATGAACAGGCACATTTACATTGTCCCTCCACCTCATGTTGCCATCTCCACATTTGTCCTTGTGCCTGTGTGTTCGTGTGCCCCCATACCTAAGAGCTCGGCGATGGGCACCATCTCTGGGTAGGCCCACAGTGCGAGTTGGTTCCTGGGGTAGCCATGGGCGGAGAGCAGCTCCTTGTGCTCGCTCGACCACAAGACGGAGCACACCTGGGCGGGGGAAAGAGTCGTGAACACGCGTCCGCGTGTCTTCGTGCCCGACACACGCAATGTCCACGGCACTGAGACATTGCTAACCGTGTCTCGTGTCCCCCATTCTCGCAGAGCATCTCACTCGTGTCTGTGTGTCCATGCCTGAGACACAGCGTCCACTGCCTTGAAGCAGATTCCCGTGTTGACATTCCACAGGCGAATGTGGTGGTCGTTTGCTCCACCCCCACTCGCCAGCAAACTCGCTTGCCACGGACACCACGCGAGTGCCTGTGTAGTGGGTTCACGGGACACCGAGACAGTGGAGTAGAGGTAGCACTATTTATTCAAGCTTGGCAGAGTTACACTGAGAAGGGGTAACGGCCCCTTCACCCGTATACACGCTGGGACACCTCCTAGGCTATCAGCCTAACCACTATGCTCCCCGTTCCTCCGCTACAGGCGCTAGAGGAGGCTATCTGACCTGGCCCTGGTCATGGCACAGGTCACGGCACCCCATCAGACAGACCGACCCTTAAAATGGCTCCGGCTCTGAGGCTCTGTGGCCGCACCATTGGCTTGCCCTGCCGGCCCTGAAAAGGGAAGCGGTCAGGGTAGTCCCAGGGTCTATCTAGCCGGCCTTCCTTCTTCACTGGTTCTTCACTCTTGGCCCCAACACTCTGCCCCGAGCCCTCTGGCTCCCCGCCCTTTATACCCATACACCACTGAGGGGCGGGGCTGTAGCGGACGTGGTTGTAGCCACCACTGTGTAACCGTGTGTTCCCTTCCCGCAACACCCCTACACCTGTCTACAAAAAGACACAGAGACAGACACGAAGAGACAGACAAAACAGATGAATATTCTTCATTTACCCTCTCAGATTGTTGAGGCCAGTCCCAACATCGCACACCTATTAGGTCTAGCACGGCACATCACGCCAGCCGCCTTTGTCTCCCCATTGCTGATGTTCAGACACCGCACCAGGTAGGCATGGAAGGGCTAAGTTGACTACGAGGAGCTCAGGACCAATTCAGATATCACTTGCAACCGATGTTAGCTGTGGCCGGGAATCGAACTCGGGATGCCGGGTTTGGAGCGCAGTGCGCTTTGCAATGCATGACTGCTCAAACAGAAGCACAGGGATAGCGCGTCAGTGAACGTCACGCACTCGGCGTGCACACGTTGCACACTGTGGCTCATGCGGTGGAGTCGGGAGGGCAGGTGCTCCGTCTTCCAGTTCTAAGTTAACCCATAACACCTCGGACCTGTGCCAAGATCTCTTGCCAGCAAGCCTTCAACACTTCACATAACCTGCAAAATGCACAAAGGCCATCTGTGCTTTTTATACGTTTCTGCACTATTTTTCTGTTTTGATGGGGGGTTTTTTCAGACGAACACTGCGGTGACGTTTCCGCTGCTTAGCGGCCGTTACAGTAATTGGCTCGGCACACGTCGGCGAGCGCCTGTGTCAACGTGTCTGTTGTGCCAGCACGTCACTGCGTGCGTGTCCCTGCCTTGACGGCGGCCGTGTGCTGCCAGAGGGCGCGGAGGGGTGCCGAGGATGTGATGCCGTTGGCCCACAGGAGGAGTTTTCTGTCGTTGCTTCCACTGGCCAGCAGGCGTCCGCAAGGGGACCACGCCAAGCCGCACACCTCCTGGGAGTGGCCACTCAGTGTGGCGACGTGATGCTGCATCATCCGCACGTCATCGTGGTGGATCTGACCCGAGCGGGACCCACTACAACAACCGCCGACATGACCGCAGAGTTTACAAAAAAACCACAACCGCCACGGCCGCAACAAGGAACAGCGATGAGAGCCACAACCCGTCACTACAACACCAGTGTCAACCACCACAACCACAGTGTTAACCACCACAACAAGTGTGTGTGTGCGCTTAAGCACTTGCCTTGACAGGAGGTGTCCGTTCCAGGACAGGGAGCTCACACGCCCCATGTGGCCCTGCATACTCCTTAAACACTTGTTTCGCTCCACGTCCCAGATCTACACGTGCAAACACACACACACGGAGACCCACACGAGGATAGGCACGCGCCCCGCACACGCACGGGGACACAGACGCACACGCGGAAATATACAATGGGGAGACACAGGCACACACGCACAACGACATAGACACATACAAGGACATACAAGTCACGGCACCAATAAAGAGCCCACCTGTTCACTTCCCATAATCCTCTGCTCTCCACTCCTTACCCCAGAAGTCTCACATTTGTGGCATTTTCCCCATTAACCCCTTCTCCCCCACCGGTCACTTGCTCCACACTCCCCTTCCAGAATGCCCTGCTCCTTGAAATATCCCAGGCTCCAGGCCCCTTACCAGAATGCTGTGCTCATTACCTGCACGGTGTTGAAACTTGTTCCTATGGCGAGGATGTTGCCTCTAGTTGGTACCCATGAGAGGGACGAGGGGTAATACCGCCCCTCCATCTGATACGCGGGCAAAGACACAGCGCACAAACACAGCACGGCCTTAACACCTTTCTCACGCTCAAATTCTCGGTGTGCATTTTGCTGCCTCAAGGCACCCTGTCTGCTTTTCACAAGAACACAACACTGACCCCGTATCCCCATGCATCCATGAATGAGCCTGTTTTCCATTTGTCTGTGCGTGTTTGCATTCCAGCGTGTCTGCATGTCTGTGTGGATCCCTGCATGTGTTCCAGTATGAGGAGCGGTCGTGTAGTGATTAGCGGGCTGCGTTATAAACCCGGGGACCCAAGTCCAATTTCCGCTCACCGTTAACACAAGTGACAATTCTCCGAACCAATCACGCGCCTCCCCTGAGCAGACTCAACATCAAATGAGTGCTTATCACCCATGGGGAGACAAAGGCGGCCAAGTCTGGTACTAATCACCCACCCCCTTGTGTGCCAAGGCTATATGGGGAGATCTTTGTATTTTTGTCCCAGTATCTCTCCGCATGCCTTCATGTGCTGGGTCACATTCCCCGTTTCTGCGTCCCACAGATACGTCCCAGCGTGGCCCAGCGCCACACACACGACGTTGTCCACGCTCCAGTCCAGCGGGTTGAGGTCTGCGCGCACGGGGGGTACGGGGTCACAGGTCAGGATAAGGGTTAAAACGTTTAGTTCAGGACGAAATTTGTGTTGTGCGTATAAATGCATCTATATTACACGTATACACGGGTAAATATGGATTTTATACGATGCCGGTTTTGCGATTCAGGAAAGGTCTAGATTTAATAACTGGTTAATAACTGCCGAGTCCAGCGGCTCTCAACCCATGGGTCATGCCCCCGACGGGAGATCAAGGCCTTAGTTGTGGCGGGGAGGGCGGTGGTGTCGCAGGCTGCAGCAGAGTGGATACTGTGCCGGATAACTGTAGAATGCATGAGAACATCGGTGCCACATTGTGGCGACAAAAACACTAAACCACAACGTGAAGCAAAATGCCAAACTCACACTGCATTGACGAGGTGCGTGGACGTCATCTCAGTATTGTGGCCTTAGTCATTGGTCAGGGTGGGCACGTGGGGTGACCAGCGGTCTTGATTGTGGGGGGGGCACTCGTATCTAAAAATATTCATTTGCTGCTATAAATTTCTACGTGATGAGCCACTTTGTTGAGCTATCATTTGTGTGGCCAGGTTGCTGCTGAAAGAATAAGTTAATAGCTTAGCGGGCTTTAAGACCTGGTAACCTTTACTCGTGTTATATATAGTGATTTGTTTACCTTATCTATACATTGCACTCCTTTCGTGTTTTTATATTGTTTGTTGTAACATTCTGACCAGTCCCTACTGGACATCTTTAAAAAAAACAGCTGCATAGCTCATTGGATTCCTCCAGGATGAATACATATTTAGATTCTGATGTTGAGACGTAAAATTATGGGCCATATTCTTAGTCACGGATCAGCTCTGGCTTCAGGCGCTGATGTTTCTTTCAAACGTGGATCAACGGCTCAGCCTCGTCTCGTCGAAATCCTGAGCATGCTGGGACCATGCTCAGAGCTGGCTCAAGTTAAGCACGCTGCTCACTTTAGCCAAGGCTGAGCTGAGCAGAGCTCTGGCCGAGGGGTTTATTCTGACCGGAAGGAACCATGGTATCTATGTTAACGATGATGAGTTATTCACATGTGCCTGCGTATATGTGTATGCACGTGTGTGTGTGTGCGTGCGCGCGTGTGCGGGTGTGTGCGTGTGTGTGCGTGTGTGCGCGCGTGTACATACGTGTGTGTGGGTGTGTGCGTGCGTGTGTGTGCGTGCGCGTGTGTGCGCGTGTGTGCGTGTGTGCGTGCGCGCGTGTGTGTGTGCATGTGTGTTTGTGCGTGTGTGTACGTGTGTGTGCGTGCGTGTGTGTGTGCATGTGTGTGTGTGCGTGTGTGCGTGTGTGTGCGTGTGTGTGTGCGTGTGTGTGCGTGTGTTTGCGTGTGTGTGTGCGTGTGTACGTGTGTGTGCGCGCGTGTGTGTGTGCGTGTGTTTGCGTGTGTGTGTGTGCGTGTGTGTGCGCGTGTGTGTGTGCGTGCATGTACGTATCTCACAGAAGTCATTGCGAACCGCCGGCGCGTCGAGCACACGCTCGGGCCACGTGAGTATGCGTCGCTTCATCTTGAGCAGGGAGAGGTGTGTGTAGCCCTGCTGGGAGTGCAGCACCTTCTGCGTGTCGCCGTAGCCTTAGGGGACAGCCGCAACAACATTAACCACGGCAAATGCCGTGACCACATTCACCACGAATGCTGCGGACGCAGCCCTGGAGGGAGTACGGCAACTGGCCTGCGTCGATGTCCCAGGGGGAACCACTCACAGCCACATACACAGTTCCCTTCTCCCCCACCACGTGTCTACGTCTATCTGTATCCCCCTGTACCCCAGTCTCCCCCACGTCCTTCCCTCCATTTTCATGTCTCTGCCTTGCCCCGACACCTTTACCGTCCCCATGCCTTGTCTATCCTTCAAGTTCTCTCTCCCACTATGCCCCTGTGTCCCCACCAACGCATCAAAGCCACTACTCAACTGCAGATCCCCGTGTCTTCCACTCTCTCTCCGTGTAGCCTGTCTTACCCTCGGGTACAGGTGGCGCCGGTCCCCGGTAGCGTAAGATTCGTGCTTTCTCCACATCCACGCCGCTCAGCAGATGCATCATCGCCACCTGCTTCTCCTACACACGGAAAAATAAACACGGAGCAGCGTTCCCTCGTCCCCACCCTCCGTTGCTGTACGGGTGTCTCCTGTTCTCCCTTACGTGTCCCCAGGGCGTGGAGGAATGAAGCAGACTCGTCAAATACACGAGGCTGATTGCCTGCCACCTCCGAGCATCCTCGTGTGTCCCGTGACCGTCAACGGGGTGGAGACACCACAGTCGCATCTTGAGACTAGGTAGCTTGACAGATCCACGTGTTCATATGAGCCATGATGACTCCGTGCTTCCCACGTGTCTCTTTGAGACGCGTGGGAAGTAGCCTGCCACCTCACTTACAGAGTGTGATCCCGTGTCCATCTCTTTGAGACACAAAGTAGCTTGTTACCTCCATGTGTCTATGTTCTGTATACCTAGCGAGTCTTAGTGTGTCACCGTGTGTCACCGTGCCTTCAGTGGAGATGCTGTTTCTTCTCGAGTTACGAGGTAGCTCGCCACCTCCATAGCTTTGCTGTTGCGCACGGGGATGAATCGGTCACAGAACTCGCCATGGGGAATGCGGCGGACACGACCTGAAGTTTTGGCACACACAGCGGGCATTCATGGCAAATGTGTACACAGCAAAGTATATACAGAGAGAATACATATATATGGTGATGCGTACACAAGCGTGCATACAGACCACACGCCGCACATTGCACACATTCAAACACCACAATCATCACACACCATGTGCACAAAACCGCAGACTATATATGTACATTGGACTTCTTTTGCACCGTACGTAGCCACATCACACTCACCGGGCGGGCTCTTGCCCTTGGCCCTGGGCATTTTCTGGCACTTGGACGCGCGTCCTGGCGTGCGGCTGCTGCTGCTATTGGTGTGGCGAGTCCCTTTCATTGGTGACACTGCCATTACGCTGCTGTTGTTGTTGTTGATGCTGCTGTTGTTGTTGATGCTGCTGTTGTGGGCGTCAGGGGTGGCTGGCATGCCCAAGCTTCTTCCCACCGTGCTCGTGATCGCGGACGCCGCCTTGCGCTGCCGACGCGGCTGGGGGCTCCAGGGAATGGGGGCATCCAGCTTCAGCGAGTGACTCATGCCACTCTCAAACTGCGACATCCTGAGACACGCGCGGTCATGCAGCGAGACGTTGGACACGAGCGGCGATGTACAGATCAGCTCTCAAGATTTCAGCAGGACATGGATCTTTCTCTCAAAGGGCACTCCTGGAACATCCTCAGATAGACGGGAGATGCACAAGGACACGCGGGCAATTACTTATTTCTGAGATGACAAAAAAAAAGTTTTACGTCTTCAGACGGACAGGCAAACACGGAGACGTAAGAAATCTCAAACAAAGGCCGGCACGGCACCGCACTGCCTACCGGGTAACTCACGTGGCAGAGTCGATCTCGGGACCGTTTCGGATAATTACCACCACTGGTGCTGCCCGTGAATTCGACTCCTGCAATGTTCAATAGAAGATCCCGATTCGAAACGGGGTCGACGGCTTCGTAGCTTTCACACAACCAGACAGTGGCCCACAGCCATGACAAATACAAACCCACGATCACAACCACCACGCAATGACACCGACCACGATAATACTACAAGCGAACCCACTGCGATAACCACAGCACGCAAAAACATAACCACACAATCAGATCAACCACAACACAACCACAGCAAAACAAAACATCCCCACGATGACAACTACTGCAACCACCATCAGACAATCCTCCTCACCTTCTCAAGAGACGGACGCTGTTGACACGCCGCGTTCTGTCTCTCTCTGTCTCTCTCTGTCTCACTCTGTCTGTCTCTCTGTCTCACTGTCTGTCTCTCTACTCTGTCTCACCCTGTCACTCTGTCTCACACTATGTCTCTCTCTGTCTCACTCTGTCTCACTGTCTGTCTCTCTCTGTCTCACTCTGTCTCTCTGTCTGTCTCTCTGTCTCACTCTGTCTGTCTCTCTCTGTCTCACTCTGTCTCACTCTGTCTGTCTCTCTGTCTCACTGTCTGTCTCTGTCTCACTGTCTCTCTCTGTCTGTCTCTCTGTCTCACTCTGTCACTCTCTGTCTCTCTCTGTCTCACCCTGTCTGTCTCTGTCTCACCCTGTCTCTCTCTGTCTCACCCTGTCTCTCTCTGTCTCTCACTATGCCTCTCTCTGTCTGTCTCACTCTGTCTCTCTGTCTCACTGTCTGTCTCTGTCTCACTGTCTCTCTGTCTCACTCTGTCTCTCTGTCTGTCTCACTCTGTCTGTCTCTCTGTCCCACTGTCTGTCTCTGTCTCACTCTGTCTCTCTTTGTCTCTATCTGTCTCACTCTGTCTCTCCGCACTCTGTCTCTCTGTCTCACTCTGTGTCTCTCTCTGTTTCACTCTGTCTCACTCTGTGTGTCTCTCTCTGTCTCTCTGTCTCACTCTCCCTGTCTCACTCTGTGTGTCTCTCTCTGTGTGTCTCTCTCTGTCTCTCTGTCTCACTCTGTGTGTCTCTCTCTGTCTCACTCTCTCTGTCTCTCTGTCTCACTCTGTGTGTCTCTCTCTGCCACTGTCAATCTGCACTTGCGATGCCTCTCCACGTGTTCAACGTAACGGTCGCTTCGCGCTGATTGGCCGCGCATTTTGCAAAAACGGCGGCTCTCGATTGGTCAAGGACTCCGAGGACCCCGCCCCGCCCCGCCCCGCCCCGCCCCGCCCTCCGCCCTTGGTTTAGGTGGCCACGGAGAAAGCCTGACGCGAGCAGCGGTCGCCACGGCAACCGCCGGCGTCACGGTTTCTTAGGGTTCAGTTCAACACGGAGGAGGGCTGTCGCGTCCAATATAATCGATAATAGAGGTTTACTGGGGAGGGGGGGGGATCGGGTTAGATCGCGTAAATATATAAAGTGTCGTTAAACCCGCAATCACCCGACACAGGTGATTAGTAAGGTTTGTCACGTTAAACAGTCTGTTAAGGCTACACGCAGCGGGGGGAGGCTTCGGTGTTGATGTATAGTTTTGTTAACAGTGAAATTTAGCTCATGTACCGTAAAGCAAATCTTTTCGTGCGACCGGCTGTGTGAGGTGGGGGGGGGGGCACGCGGACTCGCCTGAGAATAATGAGAACGCCGTTCCCACCTGAGGGCTGCGGCGTCACCGCCTTTGTCTCTCTCCCAGTCGCCGACTTTCCTTCCTTCCACGTGAAGAATGAACAGCAGAGACTGAAGTGAACCACCCCCACCACCACCACCACCATGAACGCATCCACGCTGTGTCCACACGCTTCGCGTGCGTGTGGCATCGCAAGGCGGTACGCACCGATTAAAATGTGAATTGCCTTGTTGCACTCGGTTTGAACCTCGTGCTTTCTGAACACGAAGCGATAACTCATCTCCACTGCTCATCTCGTTGGAAATTTGTCAAAGTTGCACATTCCCAAGGCAGGGTGAGGTCTCTTTATCCTCTTTTACGGAACCCGACACTTGCATCGAGTTGAAGGTTTCCAGCGTGACCACGAGTGCTGCGTAGCAGGATGATCCCCCGATTGCTCTGCAATACGTTACGTGACACTGGGGGTTGTTTTGTGAAGCACATCCAGCGAGGATGCTGCCGCCACCGGCGTCACGGATCGATTCGCAAAATCGACTAGCAATCCAGGCAGACGTCGCCCAATGTGGCGGTCTAGACAACGGTGCAATATTCATAATCTTGGTTTTTTCGGTAAAGTCAATATTCGTCAATCCCCGGCCCCAAGCCAGCGGTCTGAATGAGCCCCGCCGCGGCGAGCTGATGATCGGCAGCGTCATGTGTGGCGGTGGGCTAACGGTGTGAGACAGTTACCATCTCTCCAATATGCCTGGCCAGCGTGGAAGAGTAGGCCAAGATCAGCGTTCTAGGAGTTGGCTGCCTTCGAGCTCAGTCTTCCCCGCAGGCTCTTCCGTTTCGCCGGCAGTGGCCCGAACCGTGCACGCAACGATGGATCTGCTCGACTCAGTCGGGGCGAATTTTTCGATTTAAATCTTTCGTGACTGCAGGGATTCATCTTCTTGGTTCTTTCGGTAAAGTCACCACCACGTAGAATGGAAACAATAAAATAATAAAAATGAAACGTATTAAATTTCTCACGATGTTTCGGCCACAACACAAGTAGCCTTCTTCAGGTGAAGGAACCTGAAGAAGGCTACTTGAAGAAGGCTACTTGTGTTGTGGCCGAAAAGTCGTGAGAAATTTATTTTATTATGTTTTATTTTTATTATTTTATTTCCATTCTATGTGACTTTACCGAAAGAACCAAGAAGATCAGTCGGGGCGTTCGGGGGGGGGGGGGGGCAATTGACGGGATCGGTTGGAATTGATGCTGGTTGGTGAAGCAGCTTGATGAGGGGTTAGCTCTCGTGAGTGAGCAAGTTTGTTTGCTTCTCTCTTTTGGTTGTTTTTGCGAAAGGCGATTCGGATTTCAGCAGCAGAGCTCTGAGATCAGGTGATGAACAACAAGAGGTTCACACTTTTCAGCAGTGTTACAGTTTGTGCATTTGTGTGCGTGACTAAGCTTGTCTTGGGTACGTGATGCACACATGCATTTCAGTGCCAGCCATATATATATGGTGTACATACATATATGGTTTATATATGTGCTATACGGAAGTACCCGGCGTTGCTCGGGCGAAAAATATCTTTCAAAACTTATCTTAAAAACCTTACATACACAGATACTACGGTATTGTGAAAGCCCTGTGGGCCATTTGTCCATTTCTTCACCAACAAAAGTATAAGAGGCTTGCACAAGTCCAGAGAGTTGTAGAAAGTGGGGGGGGGGGGAAATAGTTGATCTACAAAGTTTCCGAAAATTGTCAACCCCCCCCTCAAAAAATATCTTTACCCCCGCTTTCACTACAGCAGTGCATACTGACTGTGGTGGTATCCTGCAATGACTACAGCAGTGCACACTGACTGTGGTGGTATCCTGCAATGACTACAACAGTGTATACTGACTGTGGTGGTATCCTGCAATGACTACAGCAGTGCAGACTGACTGTGGTGGTATCCTGCAATGACTACAGCAGTGCACACTGACTGTGGTGGTATCCTGCAATGACTACAGCAGTGCACACTGACTGTGGTGGTATCCTGCAATGACTACAGCAGTGCATAGTGACTTTCGGTTTACTTTTGGTTTTGGCCTAAAGTAAATTTTTAATTTTCGGTCTGGTTTCGGTTTTGGCCGAAACTGATATTGACTTTTGGTCGTCATGCGTCAACCGAATATCTATTTTTAGAATATAATGCGCGTGCTACGTCTATTACTCTGCCTATCGGCCGGTCAGTCGGCGCTAGGCAATCCTATGCGATAGGCTGCAAACACACACACACACGTCAGCAGCAGCTTGGGAGCGAGGTTCCAGCCGCAACCATGGTCTGCTAATGTATATACGACCGGTTGTAGTTTCTTAACTACAACATTCGTTTGTTTGGATATAATTACTAAGTAAGTAACAGATAAAGATTTGATATTTAGCGACTCTTACTGTAGGTTCTGAATGATTAGTTCTAGATTATTATTATTTTTATTAAAGTAGTATTGCTTTATGACATATTTCATAAATCTTGTGTTTGGTTACTTCGGTTATATACCTTTCTGTTTCGGTATCGGTCGAAAGTTAAGTTAAACTTTCAGTTTCGGTTTCGGCCGAAAGTAAATTTTTCACTTTCGTTCTGGTTTCGGTTTTGGCCGAAACCAGAAATTCAGTTTCGGTCGGCCTCTTGTGTGAGAGTGTGTGTGTGTAAGAGAGTGTGTGTGTGAGAGTGTATGTGAGTGTGTGTGTGAGAGAGAGTGCATGTGTATGTCAGAAAGAGTGTGTATGTGTGTGAAAGAGTGTGTGTAGGTTCGGAGAGCTGTGAGGCGCTGCAAGGATGGGTGGTGGTCGCAGGTTGCTGAGGAGATGGAGTCTGCCTCAATGGCCTGCGATCACAAATCCCTATTTAACTCCATCAAAAAAATAACCTGCAGCGCCACACCTATTACCATTATTATGGGAAAGAACGGTGATCCAATCTCCGACACCCAGGAACAGGTTTGCAGATTTGCTGAGCATTTCTGTGAGGTCCTGGGGGAGGGGGAATCCCTCAGACTGGAAAACATCA